TTTTGGAGAGAAAAAGTTTGAAGTTTGACAGCTACTATCCCTCCAATCCCCAGTTTAGCAATGATTCATAAGAGATTTTAAATTTTATTTTTAAAAACAAACCAAAGTTATTTAGGAAGAAAAAACCATATATTCAGGTCACAATGGTTGTTCTCCAACTCAAACCTTTTTGCAGACACTTTGGGGGATTAAAAAGTCTAACAGCCACTTATAGTAAGAACACTTCAAAATACACTCCTCCCACATAAAAAACCTGTTTGGAGATGTAAAAAAATAACAGTGTAAGAACAGACTTTCTGAACAGCAGCCACATTTCTGCATCATGTGCAATTGTCTCAACTCACTTCCTTGCTATCAAAATGTGGGTTGTACATGTGGGTTGTACAAGCAATATTTTCAAAATCAGGCTATAGAACATTTCAGCAAGAAGGTAAAGCTGGATGCTTTAATATGGACAGGCAGAGAACAAGTTACAAATCTTAAAGATTGCAACATGTGACGGAAAGCAAATAGTCTGAGCTTGGTTAACTGACGGGTCCCCATTTGCTGCTTTTCAGTAAATCCAAATTTGGGCTAATAAATGGTAAAGCATATTTGCTCCTCTAGTGAGCACACCCCTCCTACCATTCCAGTATAGCTACACAAGCAATCAATTCAACACAACTGAGGTGACAAACTTCCAGGGTGGGCAGGATGGGAATGGGTGGGGAACCTCCTCAAGGAGATCAGTCGCTGAACAAAAACCTTCTTCATATGCAAGATTTACCTTTAGGATTTTTCCTATCCTCAGGGCTTGTTCCTGTCTCCTGCCAGAGATTTCCATCCCCAAGTTGTGCTGGATGCCAAATCACTTAATACAGCAATAATCTTTTAATTAAGAAAGTAGAAACCTTAATTTGGGGTGAGATACTTGGGGGAGGAATGGGTGGAGAAATAGATAGACAATATCTTGCCTCTCAAATTAAGTGTTTACATTTTACTCACACCGTATAACCTAATCAGTGTTACATGTGAGCTGAAGTAAGAAATCTTCATTAGTAAACATTCAGAGAGATTTGCAGATCAAATCAGCAGATCAACCAGACCAAGCCAGGGTTTGATGTAGTGAGCTGCACAAAAGGAAGCAGATATGCCATCCAGTGTGCTGAAGATTGTCTTGATCACAGGACCCTGCTTTAACCTCACTACTTGGAATTAGTGCATCTGAGATGCATAATCCCCTGACATAAGTGCAATCTTACAGGCTTTGTGAAATAAAAGTTAATTTGTAATGAGTTAGCCAGCTACAGCACTTCATACTTACTTGTAGTTGTCATCTTCTACAAACTTTTGTAGTTCTTCTATGTACTGAACTGAGTTTAGATATTTTTGGACATGAGGCAACAGAGGAATATCTGGAGAAGAAAGGACATTATTATCACTGTACCATTTCTTGGTAACCAAAGATATTTCCCAGAAACTACTGAAACAGAATCATATGTCTTGCCTCTTTATGGGAGATGGAGGTATAAACTACAGTCCTTACTGATGCTGAAATTTTTGTCCTTCAGAGGACAAAATTCTCATGAGTTGAGCTGGTATCTCCTACATCCATAAAGCCAAGTATGTATCCCCCTGGAGCTGCTCTGCTTATCAGAGCACATACTAGTGAAAAGTGAGAGTATGTCCCTGGTCAAATGCAGTCCCAAACCGGTAGGGTTGTATCTGAGGATACCTTCACAGCCCACATTCCCAATATATTGAGCTTTCGGTGAAGCCACAATTCTGTGCTAATTCACCTTCTGTCATCACAAATGGAACCTTATGACTTTATTGGAAAGTGAGGAGGGTTGTGAGGGAGACCACCTTTAAAGAAAAAATGTCACCTGATCTATGAACAGAAATACAAATGTCCAAAAGATAAGCTGAACATATTTTATTTTCTCCAATAAAAGCAATCCTGTTTTTAGAATTGAGTCATAAAACTATGAAACACAAAGATACAGGTTTATAAATGCATTAGTAAAACTACTGTTAAGTACAACGTATTCCACATTTTTCATCAGAAAATGTGCTACAAAAATGTGTGTGATGTAAGAAAAAGGCTACCTTATTGTGTCTCCTCATGTTAATGCTCTGCCATAACCAACAATACCAGCATAAACTTAAGACATTTGGGCTGAGAGGATGAGGGAGACTGTTAATGACATTCAAATGGGTTGGAACTTAAACTGCATTACAGAAGACAAATACTAAGGCTGTTAAGGTTGTTCTCTTTAACACTGCACTATTTACATGCTAGCTTACCATATTCACATGACTGCTGTAAATCTGAGATAATTCGAAGAATGTTGTTCATGGAATTTGTTCTTTGCTCACTTTCCAGAATGCTCCCTGTTGATGGGTATGCAGAGTCAATATATGTCAAGTCTGACAGATAAATACCTGAATAAGATTAGAACAAAAAGTTTCTTAGTTTGGTGTCTCACATCCAGCAGAAAATCTTCACAAACAATAGTTGAAGAGGTTTTGTTTTCATTGACACACGCACACAGCATCGCTGCAGAGTGTTTCTTTGGATTTACCTGGGAAATTATTTTGATGAGATCTCCAAGAGCTTCAGAGTAAAACAGTAATAATGCTTGGACTTACAGCAAAGTACATCACGGTGCCACCCTCGTCTACTGGATTTGTACACTCCTCATCACTTCATCCTTTAGTTTTGCCAACCTTATCTCAGCTGTATTTGCAGATGCTGAGGATATGAGCACAGTGAGGTTTCTGTGTGCAAGGTTTCATTCTCTGTACAACAAATCCCAATGGGAAGCAGAGAGGATTCCTTTCTCTTGCAGCACCCCAGGCATGTACTAGGTGGCTTTAACAGGGTTGTTACTTCTAAATCTAAATGTAATTACAAGGACATGCACAACTACTCATGAACCTAAACTTCTGCCATACCACCCACTAATTATTCCCTTGACAATTCATCTACAAGGCTAAAATACATTATCAAAATTACTGATTACTTTAGGTAGTCTACTGCTTCATTCCTCCAATTTAGCAACTAAAAAAAACTAAAAGAAGGAGAAATCATTGTCTACAGCTCCTCAAGGTGAATAGAAACTGAAAGTCAACTTGTAGCAACACGGGAAAAGTTAACAAGGCAAAAACTGCACTCAACTTGCAATGTGGTACTAGTCCTGCAGTTAATATGAACTGCAACTCCAAACAGCCTTATAAAGTCTCCTCAAATGTTCTACCTGCTTTCTTCCCCACCACCACTGTAACCTTACTACTCTTGCAATCCTTTTCCCACACAGAGGAAAACCTCCACTTGACATACTAATGCTGTAGATAAACCACATATTTTAATGCTAAATGAAATTCATTGAACTTCACTCAAAGACTAATAATTTTTGTCTCAACTAAACAAAACATATTCCAACCAGCTCTGCTATTAGAAGGAATTGCTCTAAATCCCCTGCATCTTCCACAAGATATCCATATTTAAAAAAACAAAACAAAAACCCAAACAAAATTTAAATAATATTAAAAACACACCTTATTTTAGTAACTGGAAATTTATACTTTGCTTCACTCTCAGCCTTGTATAACCAAAATCATAACAAGCAGTTTAGCTTTACAGGTGGAAGACTATTAATACAACCACACAAGAACAGCAGTTGTGTTTGTATAGCACCTAACCAGTACAGTCCTCAAATGTGAGTTGGGAGACTCTGGGCATCACTCCAAAATCAACACACACACACACACACGCGTGTGCTCGCACACACACAGAAACAAATTAAAATACTTGTGGTTGAAAGGTGACATACAAAAAAGTGAACAAAAAGGTATTACACGTGACCTGATACACTACTAAATTTCCTCAATTTTCTATTCTATTAACATAAGTTTGTAAAAAAATAGAAAGGATAATTGGAAACATCAGAGAGCAGCACAAAAGAAATGTTACTACATAGACTGCATAAGCTAATTCTGTTAAGCAGTGTCCAAACAGGCCTTAAGAATTCCAAACCTGCTCAGTGTTCCACAGAAAAAAAAGTAAATCATACTTACTAATTAAGGAAATTGACTATGAAAGGCACCTGCAATATTATGCATGCTTTTATAACTCAGTGAATTTGTAGGATTATCTTTCTGAATGACTTGCTCAATTAAGCACTGATTTTTTTTTTCTTTCAGTTAAATCAAGAACTCTTCTGCAGATAGCTGGTTCTAAATGATTTGATGCATTTTTATGAAGCCTAAAATAATTCTGCAAGCGTACAGGGTAATTATCTTTCAAATGTAATTGGCAAATCCTTTGTGAAGAAATCAAAAAGATCAATGAAAGCAAATTGAATGCACTTCAGTGCTGACTATTGGCAGAACTAAACAATACTCTGCATTCCTCACAGAGCAAAACCTCTGCAGCCTTTGCTACTTTTAACACCAGTCAGATGTTATCAAATATTCTGATACCTACCCAAAACCATCACACACACACAGTTTTAACATTTTCCACATGTATTGGAGACTTCATGCCTTTAACAACTGGAACTGTTTCTTATTAAGGGAACGTCAAGAATTGAATGCGACATTCTGTTGAACATTCTTCTAGACTATAAATGGTTCATTTTTCCTGTTGTATCCAGCCAGGCTGCCCCTTTTATTCACAGCACCACAAATCGAGTTTTATCAGCCTGAAAGAATCTTTCTTCTAAATGAAGCCCAGTACTGTAATAACTTGAAAGGCATCTTTAGTCAGCG